ACCAATGATCATTAAACAACTTCCATACTGTCATATTCATTATAACTGTCCAAGTGTTCCATAAACATTTACTACGATAAAGTAACTCAAGTCAAGTGCTCACTATCCAGGAGCGATGGCGATTCGAATCGATTCCTAACTAGCTGGTGATTTGTTCCTTACACAAACCTCACTCACCCGCTAAAGTGAGATATTGATCACCGAGTCAACTTTCCAGGAATCTCGAGTTTGCCAGGAACCACATGTACCCGGGGGCCGACCGACTGCACTTTGGTCTTATCATCCCGCCCCCGTGTCCTACCACACCTGCTCCGGCACCAGTGCGTTGCGGGCAATCTACTCGGCCCGAAAAATCTCCCAGCTTCGCGGTCGGAAGGTACTTTATCCGGCCAGCTAAATATAAGGCATGCGTTCAACATGACTCGAGACCCAACAACGGTCGGTCCTTAATCGACACAGACAGAAACACTACAGTCCAAAACTCTGCAAGTCTCCATCCGGTCTCAACTTCATTTAACACTTAGTTATACCATGACTTCATAGTCATCCAAGCAGATCCAGGTAACCACCTATAGCTCGCAGGTGACAGGAAATCACCCGACTTCTACCGGTCTAAGCCAGCTAAGCATTGACTCGACTGCGGATACCAGGGTAACAAGGATATAGTATAACAAAGGTAAACAAGGTATAATGCAGCAACGGTTGCAAACAACTCCTGAACGTAATGCATCAATTAATAGTAAATCATTAATTAAATCATCGCAAATCGGGAGAAAAATGCTCCGGGGCTTGCCTCTCTCGAAGGAGCTCGGACGGTGATCGGGGCACTCTAGAAGTTCCTCAACGTCCTCCTCGTCGGCTTCTGGCACTTCCTCCGGCTATACCTCGAACTGCTCCTCGGGCTCCTCGGGTATGACGACTGGGTTCTCGGTTTGCGATCCTATATGATGCAATGCGCGTAAGTGATTATGCAAACGGTGCATCGAAGGAGATGAATGCAATGGATATGTTTAAATGCAAGGTAGTCAACATCATCCAAGAAACTATACTACAAGCACATGTCATCTACTGCATTCTCTTCTACTACTAATATGTTAAGTCAACATATCTTATGAAATGCTTCAAAGATACACCAAAGCTTTACTAATTTCTTAATCACACTTAAAGCAACACTTGCTTAAACCCTAATTAATAATAGGTTTGAATAGCAACATATATTTCTGATGCTCCTAAAAATCTGAGAAAATTACAGTAGCATAATACTATCCTAAACAGACTACCATTAAAATTTCATGGCATTTGGATAAGTAAACTATCCTACACAAAAATGACAAGCTATAGCATAAAAATGAGCATGAAATTACTTTGTACTATGAAAAGTGTCAAACAACAGATTGAGTATTTTTCCTATGTTCTTTATAGCATATAATCACTGTACAAAAATTATCATATGCATGTTTTATACAAAGTTTGCTCTCTAGCAAAAATAACAAAAATCAGCCATTAAAGGTACTTGAACTACACCTCAAAATTTTTCCACAGCATATGCATGAAACATATTTTTCCTAGGAAGTACATGACATAAGAAGATTAACAAACTTGGAATCATATTTTTCTGAAGACTATAGATTTTTCTACATATTTTTCAATTTATTAGCAATATACATGATTAAATAAAATCCTATAGAAAAGTATCCCAAAAATGACATGCAAAAATTTTCCCAAGTAGATCTGATGATAAGGAACCTAGCAAAATTTGTTTCAACCAATTTGGAGCAAATTTGAGCACCCAAACATTTTTCAACCCATTTCAGATTTCAAATAATAAAGAATAAATGAAAACAAATCACTTAAACGCATTCTTTGGGCCAGCTGGAAACAGCCTGGCCCACGGCCGTTTCCGCCTCTGTGCCCGAGCGAAGGGGGATGGCTGCTGGCGCAGGCTTCGACCCCTGCCGCTTTCTGCCTGCCGCCTACCGGTTGTTGGTGGCGAAGCCTCGTCGGTGTCTTGTATTTGGTTGGCGCTAAAACGGCGATGGTGACGGCAACCGATATCGGCGGGGCAGGGCAAGCAGCGAGCGCGAGGAGGTTCGCGAGGCATTGGCGAATCGGTGTGCGCCTAAGCATGGCCGAGAAGGGAGAAGGGACGTTCCACGGCGGCCGAAAGAGCAAGGTGGCGCCATGGCCGACGGCGGCGGCTTGGAACAAGCGCTACCTTGGCTCAAACGACAGCACACCCGCGAGCACCAGTGTCGGAGAGCGAGGCGGAGTTCTTGGCGCGAGGAATCGGAGAATGGCGCGGTGGTGCGGGAGCTCGACGCGGCGTGAGCTGGCATGGCATGGCGGGCGAGCTTAGGGCTCACGGCTCGAGAGGAGAGGAAAGCAGGTGGGGGGAGTGAGCGAGCGCGGGCACCAGCAAGAGGTGTGAGCGGCGTGCGTGGAAGCGAGGTGAGCCTTGGCTGCAGGCTGACGCTGACGGCAGCAGACACGCATAACATGGGCTGTGCTGAGCCATGGCTTACTGGCATGATCGGTATGTGTGTGAGGTGATGCAATGAAGGTAGTGAGTGCAAGGCGGGGAGGCGCTGGCGTGGGCTGGGCAATGACGGCGGCTGCGGAAGCAAAAGCGGCAAGGCGGGCAGGTGGGCAGTAGGCGGCGGCGGCCCACTAATGAGAAAAATCCTTTTTCCAATTATATTTTCAAGAAATTTTTAAATGCCCTCTTTCAAATATTATTTTGAACAAGAAAATGACCTCTTTTGAAAATGTACCAAAAATGAAAGTTGTTTAGAATTTAATTCTCTACAACTTTGCTTTTATGACCAAAGCCAAATTCTTTCTAGATTTTGAATTGTAACATCAAAGTCCACGTTTAGCTCAAAACCCTAATTTTTGGAATTTATTTTTGAAGCTAAATTTTGAATTAATTTGAATACAAACATTGCTCCAAAAATTGAACTAAACATTGCTGGATGATTTACAATAGTAGCCAAACATGTTTTACTAATCTAGTCAGAACATTCAGGGCAAAACAATTCTTAAACAGGTGTATGCAACATTTAGGTTTCACGCATGTTTCAGATATTTCAAAACAATGTTTCAATTGGTATGCACATGATTAAGCATGTATGATTTGGATGCTTGATGATGCATGATATGCGTGATTTGCAGTGCCTAAATGTAGGCATAACACCGGGGTGTTACAAATATGGACTCATCATTTTTTTGTTAAGTACTCCCTCCATTCTAAATTATAGCATCCTAAATTATAAGTCATTCCAAAAATCTTGGAGAGTCAAAGGATATCAAGTTTGACCAAATTTATATGATAAGATAATAATACTTATGACACCAACTAAGTATCATTAGATTCTTCATCAATTATATTTTCATAATGTACCTATGTGATGTTATAAATCTTTGTAATTTTTTCTATAATTTTAATCAAACTTAAGATGCTTTGACTCTCCAAAATTCTTGAAATGACTTATAATCTGGAATGGATGGAGTAATTAATTAAGCTCGTCATTCACCTAGCACATACTATCTTCTGAATGAAAAGAATACAATTCTAATTCTATATTTCTATACCTAGTGAAAATATTTAAAGGTACACTCACTTTACAAAAAATAATTACCAATATTTTCCCTCTAAAGAAGGATGAAGCAGGATATCTTTCTATTATCTTAAAAAAAGTACCAATATTTATGACAACTAAATAGATATACATTCTACAGTAATACATTATAATAATACATTCCATGACGAATTTAATATAGGCCCGCTCGCTCGCTGAAATTTGGCTAATGCTGATGCTGATTTGTTGTAAGAGGAAAACAATGTTTCTCCGCTAAAAAATAGCTGCCGATAAGTTCAAGCGAATATGGCCTAAGCATTCATTTTGCGTGGATGATTGATTAATTGATTAGTCTATGGAATAGCAAAGAATAACAAAGCGGGAAATAAAATGAGAATGCGTTCCTCTCCAGAAGAAAATGTAAAAATACAAAAAGAAAAAAAAAAGAGTTGCTGACCACAATAGCCTTGGCAACTTGGGCCTCGTTTAAATTAAAGTTAGAAATCAGTATTTGGTACTGTAGCATTTTCGTTTGTATTTGACAATTATTGTTCAATTATGGCCTAACTAGGCTCAAAAGATTCGTCTCGTAATTTACAATCAAACTGTGTAATTAGTTATTTTTTTATCTACATTTAATACTCCATGTATATGTCCAAAGATTTGATGTGATGGAGAGAGAGTGAAAAAACTTACGATCTAAACGAGGCCTTGCATCTACCTGCTACGCATACGCGTCAAGAAAGCAGTCGCTGTTGGCATCATCATAGCAGGCATAACAAATGACAGCAGGCACATATCGCCTTGGAAACCTCCATGGCTCGGTACCACCATGAATGGGTCATCGACAGAAACAGCCCGAGCTCTCTGACCTCTTCTTCCCTTTTCATGGCGGTGCACGAGACGAGACGACTCCATGTGGAGGCCGGTCAGGCAACGCGTGGAACGCCAGTTGCCAGGTCTTGCGGGCAGACCCAGCGAACGCCAAAATCCTACACGCTTAGTTTCACTGTCTTCTTCAACTACAACCTTTTACACTACCTATATTATATATCTCCAACGAGAGGTAATGCATCCCAGCACATCAGACATCACCCAGCACGAGACATTTCAAAGGCTTGCATGCAACATCCAAAATACTGGAATTTCGTGCTCGTTTAACGGTCCAACAGAACCAGTTCTCAGACCTGAACATATATATTATATATAGCAACAATAAAAGAACAAAAGAACTACTATAGCTCATCATAACAGTATCAGCTTCGACAAAAAGGCCCTAGCCACTTCGACAGTCAGAATCCCCCTTTCCCCAGCAGCGCAGCAGCTCTGAGTCTGAGGATGAAACGATGCTGGAGCTGGGTACAAAGCAAGAATTCCATTCCATTGCATGCAACAACGAATCCAGCATTGGCCGAGAGAGCTTCATGGGAAGGTGAACGATCCACCAATCTGCTGGTTCGACGACGGCGGGTTGATGGCGACCCACAGCAGCGAGATGGTGATGGAGAGGAGTCCTGCCCAGACGAAGACGATGGTCGGCGTGCGGCCCCTGCGCCCCATCAGGCCCTTGGCGAACGGGTACAGGTGCGCCAGCACCCAGAAGCTGAAGAAGACGCCGCCCAGCAGCTTGCTCCACTGCGGGATCTCGCTGTAGATGGTGCGGCTGAAGCCCACCGCGATGGCGATCAGGTTCACCATCATGATCACGATGGGCGGGATCATCAGCGACGTCCACTTGACGATGTACAGGTCCGCGAACTCGTCGTCCACGTCGTCGCCTCCGGACTTGGATGTCAGGGTGAAGGAGATCTCGATGCCTGCCACCACCTTCAGGAGGCCCTGCAGCACAGCCGCGAGGTGCGCACTCGTGCCGCCAATCAGCCAGAACTGCTCGTTCCGCCACCACTCCTCCAGGCTGATCCCCGACCACTTGATCTCCAGCACTGCCAGCAGGCACAGCATCAGCGTGATCCCCAGCAGGTACGTCAGGAATGCCACGTTGAGAGTCTTCACGATGAACTGCCCCGAGAACAGGGACAGCGCCGGCAGGAAGCAGTAGACGATCAGGAAGATGGACGTGAATGGGTAGATGCCGACGTTCAGGTAGGCGATCCTCTGGAGGAACTTCATCCTGCGGCTTGCGAGCAGAGCATTGTTGCGGGAGAAGAAGATTTCCACCGAACCAGTAGCCCACCGGAGCACCTGGTGGAGACGGTCAGTCAGATTGATGGGTGCGGTGCCGCGGAAGGCGTCACGCTTGGTGACACAGTACACCGACTTCCAACCACGGTTGTGCATCCGGTACCCAGTGACCACATCCTCTGTGACTGAGCCGTAGATCCAACCAACACGGTGGCCCCACTCAGTCTTGTCTTCGTACCAGCATGAGATGACACTGATGGCCTCAGCAACTGTGGATGCATCCAGAAGGTCACGGGGAACAGTGAGAGCACCCGGAGGACGGCCATTCTTGACACCAGGGTGATCAGCTAGCGGGCGTCCTTGGAATTCAGCAATTGGAATGGAATTGATGAGGAAGTTCGAGTTACCAAACTTCTTGGGGAATGATGACATGTTCATTTCATCCTCATCAAAGTCTGCCATTCTTAGAGCCCGGGTCTCCTCCGGTGCGGCAGCTGAAGCTTTGATCTTGCGTCTCTGGGGGAAGCAACAGCTGCAGCAGCCACCATGTTCCTTGGAGCGCGGAGGGTCAAATCCATATAGGGCAACACGGCGGAAAAGACAGCCAGTGCCGACATAGACTGGTCCCATGATACCATCCAGTGCGCGCATGTTGACATCAAAGAAGACAGTGTTGTGGTTAGCATAGCGATCTGATGGATCAATGCCCTCAAACCGCTGCGGGAACTGAACATAACCAATACGGTCGCCACCACGGTCCATCATGAAGCACATGCCTTCACGGAAAGCTTGCGAGTTGTAGACATAGTGATCACAGTCAAGGTTGAGGATGAAGGGGCCATTTGACATGACAGCAGATGAACGGACTAGGGCATTCATCGCACCAGCCTTCTTGTTGTGGTCATAACCAGGGCGCTTCTCTCGGGACACATAGACCAACATTGGCAAACGGATGTCGACCTCAGTGAAATCAAGAGGTCTGCCTTCATCACCAGTGCTGCCATACAAGGGATCATCACTGGGAGGTTTCAGCATCACCTGTAGCACAGAAAAACGATGAATTAGGTGCCTGATTTTCTTTATGTACAGAAGAAGCGACAGAGTAGAATTAGAACATCTAATGCATATATACCTGAATTATTCCAGCATGATCACCACGGGTATGCTCAGCAGAAGGTTGAATCCAGGTACCAGGCCAGTGAGTGCCATCAGCCATCCAGGTGGCTTTAGGGATCTTAACAGGCTCCACTGCATCATCAAGGGCAGTCTCTCGCTGCCTCTTCATAGCCTTGATTTCCTCCCTGGCATGGTACGCATCAGAGCGTCGGCGTATCGAGTCAGGCAGTGCATTGATCCTGACCTTGAACTCATCATACTCCCTCTTAACCCTCCTCCTGTCCTTGACAAAATCCTGGCGAACCTTGTTCTTGTATGGGTCCTTCTTAAGATTGAAGTAGCTTTCAGGATTGCGAGGCTCAATGTTGTGCTTGCGACAGAAAGGAACCCACATATTAGCAAAGCTAGCAGCTTCAGCCATGGCTTCAAAAGTCAGGAGAGCCCCTCCATCATCAGAAACATAGCAAGAAAGCTTCTCCACAGGGTAGTCAGCAGCAAGGATGGACAGGATGGTATTTGCTGTGACCAGTGGAGGTTCTTTCTCTGGATCAGCAGTGGACACAAATATATCAAGCCCTGGTAAATCTGATCGTCCAGTAGGGTTCGACGGCGTTGGGGTCTCAAACTTGTCTTTGAGGACAGCAAGGTCGGTTGCTCGGTTCACAGGGCACAGCTTTGGCAGCTGGTCAAGTAGCCATGAAAAGCCAAACCAGAGTTCACAGACAACAGACATGCCCCAGAGCCAAATTGCATCCTCATTCTTGTGCTTAATTCTCCACATAAGGAACAGAGCAAGGACGGCCATCCGGATAAGAATGAGAAGCCTGCAGGAAGCACCAGAACCATCAAGGTTAATCTACAGGACATTGTTACTATAAACATTTGCACGTCTATTTTGCTAGATAGAACCAAACGATGTCTGGACTATGTGATGAAGTTGTAGGATCTAATAAAAATGCACAAGTTGGGAAGCATTCTGCAATTTGAACAGCAAATACATACAAAAAAAAAAGTCTGAATGTAGTAGTAACCATTATTAAGTTCACATGTTTGGAACATGGTACAGGACAGATCTAAGAATCTAACAACTCACCAAACCTGCTAGTTTGTTCAAAAGATCACAACAACGGGGACTAATCTACACAATCAGGTCTAACCAAAGTTTGACTCAGAATCAGGGTGGAACATTTTTTTAGATATGAACGCAAATAAAAACCACCAAGTGGATCAGAAATAGAACAATGCATTTCAAATTCAAACCAGCCTTGTGTGTGCACATGAATGATGAATCCGATCAGCAATAACGATTGAAAAAAGAAAGACAAACAAACTTCAGTCAGGTAGGAAAAGGCATGCATTTACCTGTATGGGCTGAGTATGGCAGCAGGGATGGGAAGCTTCCGAGTGAGCGGTCTCCATGGCTTGGTGGTGAACTCGGCCGGCTGGCCATCAGCTCCTCCTCCACCGAGGCCGCCTCCGCCAACGCCTCCGGCGTCCACCTCATTCTCCTTGGGCCAGATGGCATTGCCATAGCCATACGTCCCCTTGGTCTCAAAGAGCCAGCGGTTGTGGTCCCAGTCTCCGGTCTGGCTCCTGGTCATGGCCTTCTGGGAGCGCATAATGGATAGCCGCCTCTCCATCCTGGACGCGGCGGCGCCAGGCGGCGGGGCAGCGACAGCGTGGGCCTACCTGCCCCGGCGTTAGCATCGGCGGCACCGACGACGTCCTCGAGCTCCGTGTTCTTGTAGGGCTCCTTGCATCCCGGGCAGACGGCGCCAGCGTTCTTGACGGCGTCCGCGAAGCACTCGGCGCAGATCTTGAAGTCGCACTCGCAGGGGAGTATGTCGTCGCCGCGCTCGTCGCTCATGACCTTGGCGTCGCATCCGTTGACGGCGCAGGAGGATCCCTTGGCTCCCGCCATCTGCGGGTGGGAGGCCTCCGAGTCGATGACCTTGTCCATGAGGTGCGCGCGCGTGACGCTGTTGAAGCCGCCCGTGAAGAGCGAGTTGGAGACGTACTGCTCCTCCACGCGCGCCGAGATGGCCGGGTCCATGGGCTGGTTGTCGGGCGTCGCCGGGATGTGCACGTGGTAGCTCGCGTACTGCTGCTGCTGCTCCTCGCGGTCGGGCGACATGTCGCCGCCGATGCCGAGGTCGCTGTCGAGGTCGTCGCGGGAGTAGCTCACGTAGCGGCCCGAGTGCGTGCGGCGGGCGAAGGTGACCATGGGACGGTCGCCGGGGACGGCCGCCTGCACGCGGGCGTCGTCGCCCCCGCCGCCGGAGTAGGACATCCGTGACAGGCGGCTGCTGTTGCTGTGGCGGAGCCCCCCGCCGCCACCGCCGTTGGAGGCCATGGCGGCCGGTCCGGGCACGGTGCTGGATCGAGCTACGGATCCGTCAGTGGTGGCGGCTGATCTGCGGAGGAGGGAAGGAACCGGAAGCGTCAGGGACGGATGCAATGGAGGAGCATCAATCAGTCAACTCAACCAAATAGTATTAGTCAGTCAGTCAGTCAAAAACGGCAGAAGATGGCAACTTCATTTTTCTTCGATGGAAAGCAAATCCGACAGGGACCGAGAAATCAGGCCGGAATCCCCGGACCCAGATTCAAAGCAAGAAGCAGCGGCGCGGGTCGCACACAGATTCAGATGGCGGAGAAGCAGGGAGGGAGGAAGCCATAGCAGGAGGAGGCAGAGGGCTGTGGTTCTTACCATCCGATGCGATGCGAGTGGAGTCGGAATCTGTGGAGCTCGAGCTCCTTCCTCCTCCGTGAAGGACGGACGGAATGGAGTTGAATGAAGTAGCAAGTAGCGGTAGGGAGGACAGAGAGAAGGAGCGAAGGGACGAGGAGGAGGGGAGGGCGGCGGTGGCAAATGAATGAAGCGGAAGGGGAAGCGCCGGGTACTAGTACTAGTAGGCAGCCGTGGGGACGGGATTGGGGAGGTGGTTTGGTGAGCTCCGTCCGTCCGAGTGGGGGACAGACAATGGGGGTGGAAGAGTGAAGCTGGAAGACGAAGTCCACAGGAAGCAGCAAGCGAGGGAGCGAGAGCAAGCAAGGCAGGGACGCGGATTTGGGCTGGGTTGGCGAGGAAACGAAACGGGCAACGGACGCGGCGCAGCCTCGCGCACATCACATGGGGATGGGGGTTGCTGATTGCAGCAGCGGAGACGAGGACGGAGGACGGAGGACGGCGGATGATGCAGGCGGTGCCAAAAAAATTCAAACAAAAAATTCTCCCACCCACCGTGAATCAGAATCGATCACCGTCATCATCCAAGGAGAAGCTGGCTGTGTTGTTTCATCAGGTACTAGTATATAAATAATAAGGTCTTATTTAGATTGCAAATTTTTGTAATCTGGACACTGTAACACGTTTCGTTTGTATTTGATAAACGTTGTCCGATTATGGACTAACTAGGCTCAAAAAATCCATCTCGTGATTTACAACCAAATTATATAATTAGTTATTTTTTTACCTACATTTAATACTCCATACATATATCTAAAAATTAATGTGATGAAGAGAGAGTGAAAAAACTTAGAATTTAAAGGTGATCTAAACAAGACCTAATTATTATTAAAATCCGGAGACCAGCCAGCCAGCTGAAAATCTCCTGGCAGCACAGCACAGCAAAGCTCAGCATGTAGACACGGCTGCCGTACGTCGAGCCTGAGCTGGCTTCTTCTACCTCCTCAATTTATCTACGCATAATAAATAAGTATATAAATATACTAACTAATAATAGGACTAGTGCTTACTTGGCCTTGCATATATGCCCGGGTTTAGTTGGCCGAATTTGGTCTCGTCGGATTCACTGTGCACACTGTAGTGTACTGTAGCATTCCGTTTATATTTGGTAATAATTATTAAATCATTGATTAATTAGACTCAAAACATTCGTCTCTTAAAGTACAACCTAACTGTGCAATTAGTTTTTGATTTCGTCTACATTTAGTACTCCATACATGTACCATAAATTTTTAATGTGACGAAGAATCTTTTTTTTTACATAGTGCCAAAGTTAAGAGTTAGAGCAACTAAACAAGGCCTATGCATGCCTCGCGGTGTCAAGTTTGACCGGCCGCTGCCTGCTGGCTTCTGGCTCCTCGCTCCTCGCTTGGACTGCCGGCATGGCGTTGGACGGCAGCGGCATGCAGTACAGCCGGCAGCGTCTGCAAAGAGATGGAGAGCAAATGGCATCCGGAGGGATCGAGCCGGCCATCCCACCACAACAAAATGTTTGCTCCCCAGCGCCAGACACTACTCCCCAGTTCCCCAGTGCAAGGAGAGCAAACAAAACAAAGCCATGACCCATGGTGATGGTGATGCATGCTCAGCGCAGCCTCTCCACCTGATCCATATGCAGCTTCCTGATGAGCTGGTGTGCCATCCGTGCGGCGTGGATACGTATGTACTCCCTCCGTCCCTAAACGTTAGTGGGTTAACGTTAGTTGTCACCATTTCTACGTCAATAACTTTGACTCGATTTATAGAAAATACGTGCAACATTTCTATCTTCAAATAAATTTATTAAAAAACTAGATTCAAATATCTATCAATAATATTAATTATGTATCACAAATATTAATATTTTTTAATATATATTTAGGCGTTGTTTATATCCAGGCCGTAAAGTTTTGGGGTGCCACGTCGGATGTTAAATAGGGTGTCGTATGGGGTGTTCGGATACTAATAAAAAAATAAATTACAGAATCCATTAGTAAACCACGAGACGAATTTATTAAGCTTAATTAATCCGTCATTAGCACATGTGTTACTATAGCTCTTTATGGTCAAATCATTGATTAATTAGGTTTAAAAAATTGGTCTCGTAAAGTAGTCGCAATATGTGTAATTAGTTATTTTTTTTGTCTATATTTAATGGCTCCGTTCGTTGGTCTGAAACTTGGCTGAAAAACACTGTTCCGGCTGGTTTGTTGTGAGAGAAAAACACTATTCGGCTGGTTTGATGAACAGTAACATGTGAGGGGTACCAGCCGGCTGGCTGAACCCGTTCAGACCAGCGAACAAGCCCAATACTTTATGCATGTGTCCAAATATTTGATGGGATAGAATGTAAAGTTTTGGGATTGGATCTAAACAAGGCCTTAGTCAAAGTTGTTTCTTGGGAAACAAAAATGATAGACATTTAGGGACGGAGGGAGTATGTCAATTTGTCTGAATGAATGAAGGCATTGGTGACTGACTGGTCCATTGCTTGCTACTGTTTATACTCTGACGCATTTGGTAGGCTCTACTGTGTTCACCTGACATGCCCCTATGGCACCGTTCTACAGGTGCGTAGGGTATGGCAGGGTACAGTCCTCGTTATTACGGTTGACTTGAGCGCCTCACCTTATCTGCTTCGTCTGCTCCTCGGGCCCACACCGAGCGGGCGTCCCCGGTCAGTCGTTCCTAGTCGGTCCCGACCGTGTCGGTCGAGAAAGAGCAACGAGCAGAGGTCCGGCGTATCCTCGGTCGGAGAAGGATGTCGGAGTCGGACTGCGGTCCCACCTTAGCCAGGCCTTCTGGTCAGGGACCAGATCGTTGTCTTCGGCTTGTCATTATGTATCTGGGCCTGCCCAGGCGCAGGCTGTCGCTGCGCCGACTGCTGGGCCTTGTTTTGCAGGGAAGCGGGTCCATTGGGGATCCCGGATTTATGAACCCAACACTGATCTTCATTGGGCATCTATGACTGGTACAGCCCAAAACCTAAAAACAAAATCCGAGGAGGAGAGGGCCTGCATCCGCACCTGCTATATCCGAAAGGGACTGTTTGGTAGAGCTTCGGCTCTAGTCAAAACAGCTTCAGTGGTGTCTCCATCTATAGAGCAGATTCACTTAGGGAGTTGAATCCATTTTGCGGACCGTTTGATAAAACAGCTTCACCTGATAGTCAAAAAAGATAAAATGTCCATTATACCCTTATTTTTTTTCTTTTTCTTTTTTTCTTTTCCTCCTACCTTATCCGTTCAAACGTGGTCGACTCTCTTCAACCTCCCACGGTCGCATCCTCTTCAACCATCGGCACGCACCGTCGTAGCCGTCGAATTTTTTTATTTTTTAGCTCTTTTTTTTAAAAAAAATCACAAATATGTCCCTGGAGGTAAGATTTCAAAATCTAGACCCTTAGCTCGACGCCATCGTTGCTAGCGCCGAGCTCTTGGGCTCGATGCTGACGTGGCGGTGATTTGACAGGCAGCTCGGCACCGTAGATTTTGACGCTGAGCTCGGCGTCGTGGTTAGTGGCGCTAAGCCTGCATGGTTTGCTGTTGCAGGCGTAGCACTGCAGCGCGGTAGGCGTCGGGTAGGCAGGGTCGCGACACGTAGGTCCCTGCTCATCTTCCTCTTCGCATGTGCCGAGGGCTGCTCCACAGCTCTCGTACTCCCTGTCTTATCGACTGCCGACGTGTCAACCAATGACAAACAAATATGGTCCTACTGTACCATCCTCTGTGCGTACTGTACGTACGTACATACTCCTACTTGTATGGACCTCCAGACGATGGATGGATCGAATCCGATCCTCCTGTGTCGTGATATCAGGTCTGCTGCGCGCTAGAAAGGCTACCCTCAGCCTACACCGCCAGTGTCGCTGCCAACCGTGCACTACTGCACTGCAGCATGCCTGTCAATAGAATATCATCGGCAGTCCTCTGAGGGGTATCCCACGAAGGTAGATTGATCGGTAGAGGAGCGTGAGATCAAGAACAAGAAGGCAACAGAGACACACGAGTTAGACAGGTTCAAGCCATCAGTACGACATAATACTCTACTCCTGTGGTCTGTTGATTTGTATTAACTATCGTATGATATTGCGTGTGTTTGGAGGGGGTCCCTGCCCGCCTTATATAGCCCGAGGAGCAGGGTTACAAATCGGTTAGGTCTAAGAGATAACCGGAAAGTAATAACTGATTACATGAATCTTGGGATCGTACATATCCTAACAGATCTCATAGTATCTTCAGGATATCCTCCAGATGTCTTGCGGGAGCCGCCGAGTAGAGTCATGCCCCGCAAGGCGTCGTCTCATGGGATAGGCCGCCCCTGGGGGCACAGCCCATGTGGTCTGTCGTGGGTATCCAGGGTCGTACCCCCCACAGCTAGTCCCCGAGCACCTTGTACCCATTGTGCAACACCGTTTTACGCTTGTCCGAGCAGGTGCGAACAAAGCCGAGCAGTAAAACTCATGATCCGACCACCTTGATGAGTTGTCGAGCAGTTGCCGAGCAGCGCGGACCACAGCCGAGCAGTATGATCCAAACACGGCTTGCCATAAGGGTGTAAGGAGCTCAAGTTTAGAAACGAAAATTTCCTCACAGTGGACCAGGTGTGCCCACTTAGAGTCCAAC